TTTCAAAATGGTAAATTCTGGAACACTAATTGATATTTTAAGTTATTATATAAAGAATGTAAACGTTAAATATTTATTTCGCTTTCGTACTTTAACTATAATTTATTTTATTTAAATATTTTTAGAATCATTACAAATCTTCTAATAAGTAAATAAATAAATCAATATATTTTCAAACCATTTTGATATTCTCGTAATACTTAACAATAAAAAAATAAAAAAAAATCTCTGACTAGGATCAAAATGCCCATAACTTCAAACTATTGTCAAAGGGCGTCTCCAACGTTGCGGAGAAAAAATTGGAGTTTGGAAATTCGTAATGAAAAACATGTTTTACGTGTAAAATGTTGGAAATTCGTCATAGAAAATGTATTATATTGAACAAAATTTAATTGATTTCAAGTATATATACACACACACACATATATATATATATGCAATTTAAATTCATAATTTTTGTTAAATAAAAAATAAAAAACAAGCATTGACCATTAAATTAAACTGTAATTAACGACACAAGTACATTTAGTTTCTCAGTTGATGGGACATGATTGCGCCCACTTTTTTGGTTTTCTTTACAAATTTCGTGTCCAAATCAAAACGATGCGTTTTGTCGTACACAGAAAATAATATATATATATATATATAATTACACATTTTTTCCAGCCATCAATCGCGGGGGAAGAATTTAGATTAGAGTTCGTTATTATTAGACTGGATTTTTATAGACTTTGGACTTTGAATTTTGGTTTTAATTTGTCATGCTCGGCCGAAGAAATTTATAATGCTTTCAAATTTCTTTGGTTGGTCCTGAATTTTTGGAAATTACTACTGTTTCATAAAGCTCATTCGATCAAGCTATTCGGAAATCAACGTTTTGTATAAAAAAAAGTTACAAATAAAGTTTCAAGAAAAATACTGAATTGCGCAGGTGATTTTTGGTGAGGACGGAAGCTGCGAAAACGAGTGATCGGAGAGAAAAACTTCCTAAATTTTTGGAAAGTATTACTGTTGCATGAAGTTCACCGATCAAATTATCCATAAATCAATGTTTTGTATAAAAAATAATAATAAATAAAGTTGAAGAAAAATACTGGATCGCGCAGGTGATTCTCGATGATGACGGAAGCTCCGAAAACGAGTGATTGGAGAGTAAAACTCCCTAAATTTTTGAAAATTATTACTGTTGCATGAAGTTCACCCATCAAATTATATATAAATCAATCTTTTGTATAAAAAAAAATAATAAATAAAGTTGAAGAAAAATATCAGATCGGACATATGATTCTCGATGATGACGGAAGTCGCGAAAGCGAGTGAATGGAAAGAAAAACTTCCTAAATTTTTGGGACTTATTACTGTTGCCTTTGCTTCATATAATTGCCCTTTCTTTCTTTTTTTCTTTTTTAAATTAAATTAATTGATATATTATTTTTTATAATTTTAATTTTTATATTTTTTTTAAAAAATTTTACTTGATCTCTAACCGTTAATATATATTAACATCATTAGTAGAACTGTCACGTAGTTATTGTTGAAACTAATTTCTTCGTTTTTATGTTTTTAATTAAAAAAATTAATTTTTTCTCACGTTAGATATTACGATTATAGAATAAATGATATTTAATATGAATATTAATTTATTCAAAATTTAACACGTGTCCAACTTAATTTTAAAAAACACTTTTACTAACAGTGTCGGTGTGCGCGTTAGTTATTAAATATTTTTTGAAAATACATTAATTAAAATTTTAAAAAATAATATATTGATTAATTTAAAATAGTATGGTAGGAATTTAATATTTTAATATGTATATATATAACACATTGGTCATATGGAAATACTATTTAAGAACAGTATACATAGACTAGAACAATATGCATTTGTCATTTGAGAATTGAAAAATGTCAAGGCCCATTTAGTGGGAATCAGGCCTTGGCCCAATCTTAATTTATTATGTTAAATAAATTTTGAGCAAACTGAATATACACACCTACATATATATCCAAACAGCCATAAATACATGCACTAATAATTGCACATATATATATATATATACAGATATATAAATTTCAGAGGATTTATATCAGTAAGGTACAGTTAAGTAAATCAATCTCTAAACAATA